GAGAGAGAGAGAGACAGAGGGAAGCGAGTTCGACACGACCTGGCAATACTATTAAACGCATTTTCCTTCACAAACAGATTTTGCGCGAGTGAATAAAAAACGACTTTACAAAAACACCGTTTTCATATTTTACGATCCCCGCATAATAAGCTACTTTGGTCCTTGAATCCGTACGTCTGGAAACATTATATATGGAAAATGCACTGCTATGTCCAGTGGTTTCAACAATGCCAGCAAGATGCGCGCGTGCGCGCGATAATATTTTCGCATGAATTTTTGCTAAAAGTATCCGGCAGTGTAATGAGGTAAACAGGACAATGATACTTCTGCAGAAATTTCTGTCCCAGCTGCTGCATAAGCTACTCGATTTAGAGATTTTTATATTCTGTAATATGCAAGATTCGCCTGCGTAACTTCGCATCATGGAGACGCAACAACATTTACCTGCTAATTGAATAAACTAGAAAAAAGCCACTCGATGTATTTGTCGTGCTATAAAGGGAGCGCTTATTTATAAAATTAATTAAATTTTTCTTGACGTAATTTCATTAATTGCTTCTGCTTTGCAGAAATATGTACATGAATCACGGTTTTATTTTTTGATGTTACAATTAATATCAATTACAAAGTATCAATTACGTAATTACCGCTGACAAGAAGAAGCGTAGAAAGTTATTAAACAATGAAAAGGGAATCCGCGATATTAAATTATGGTAATCAACTTGGTCTGCAGTCAAGTTGTCACAAGTTTCTCCATTTCATGTGGTTAAAATCGTACAGAATCACACTCGATTTCAATAGAAAAAAGTTTTAAAGTGAGATTTCTAAATTGAATATTTTTAAAGCAATCTTCATGATTGTCATTGATGCGGATAGCGCATTGTGTGACATTGATTAGAAATATAACACAAATGGATGGACGATAATTTCGTTGCAATTTGAATTAATTTTCAATTATTCCGTTTGATATTATACATTGTGTAGGACATCCAAAATTCGAAATTAACCAATCCTAAATTAACATACCAAAAATCACTACGTAGAACGAAAGTGTCCATGTATTATATCCACTACATAGGTATATATTAAAGAAGAAAAGCTATTATTACAATATATGTATATATGCAATCTACATTTCTGACAAAAGCTTTTTCAAGACTGCATTGGTTAATTTTGCTGTCATCTGATCCAAATGTAACAATCTTATCTGTACGCAATGCAATTAAAGCGATAAGCGATTAAAAGCAAATTATAAAACGGAGTAGTTGTTGTGGAACGTCATATACGTCAGACAAAAGAAAATTCTCGAGGTAGGAAAATCCTCGGAGAGAATGCGACGAAGGAAATAACGGTAAAGGAGCCAGTAAGAGAGTCTAAGAAGAAGAGACAAGCTTGACCTATTTATCTCATAACAGGAATAATAGGATCAAGAAGTATTATAAGCAACAGCGACAATCACCATGGACCGCCTAGCACCCTGCTGCCAACGGTAATGCGGCTTGATACGAGAGTACTATGTTAAAAGTTAAAATGTAACTCCGAAATGCATAAACCGAGCCGCAGCCATTCGTTTCGCAAAAGTAATGTTCGCAATTAAGGCGCGACGTAGCGCCATGTGCACGGTTTTAATTATTTTGTGAAAAGAAGTTTTCTTGTAAAACTGTGTAATGTAGAATGTTACATTTACGTAAATTTCATTAGAAATTTAATTTTTACTCATGCTAGCATATGATTAAATAATTGAAGGACCGAGAAACTTGAACTATGATATGACAGAAAATTGTAGAGAAGAGCAAAAAGAATCCGAAAATGTTAAGAATTGAAGTACATTAATTTTCTTTATAAGTGTGATATTGTTCTAAGCTTTTAATCGAAGGCAGACCGCAAATTGTTTCAAAGCGGTAAAATCCGGAAATTGACAATATCTCAATCGCATTTTTCAAAAAGTGAGCAAAGGACGAGTGTTGAAAGAAATATTTTACTACATCACTTTAGAATTTGTCATTAAATATAGTATCATACATTCATATTTCCACACTTTGCTACATGAACAGTAGCAAACTGACTCGCCAAATTTATTATTCCTTTTAATAGATTAAATAATTTTCAATCTTGCAAGCCAGAATATGAATATTGTTTAAAAATGAATAAGTATATTATAATTATCAAATAAAACCTTTCTACATTTTATAATCTGTCGTTTATACGCTATGTGCGCTCTGTGTGCTTTTACATAAATTTATTCATATTCATACGCTATGATGAAAGCATAAGCGTTGTGAACAAAAGATTTATGCTCGAAGGCTGTCGCTGCGTTAATTTTTCACCAAATTATGGCCTTTTAGAAATTTGACGCTTCGTTTATAAATGAAAACGTGCATCGTCAACATTGCAACAGCAAGTGCACGGAAGACCGCGGTCCGGAAACTTTGAAAATTGCAAATACCTTATTATCGAAACTTGTATCGGGAAAAAGTAAGTTGTTATGGATATTAAATATCGTAAAATTCTTCGCCGCGCACCGGAATTTGCGGACCGTAGCCGAATTAATAGCTTTCGCTGCTCGACATACAATCCTTTGCGCATAACAAGCAGTCTTATTAATCCCAGCGCTGTAAACTCTTTGTCGCTGCTTCGAGATAATTCGGGCAATTTTCACACTGGAGCTTTCCATTATACGAGGACCGGTTTTCGTTAACACCGTTATAGTGACAGTTCAGCTCCGGAATATTACGAAGCTACCGTTCATTTTTTTATACATTTTGTAAATTGTCTTTCCATTTTTCGATATCAATAGTGATATTTTATTTAATTAAATTATTGTTAAATTAAATTTGCTCTCAAAAAAAAAAATAAATAAATAAAATGTGTCTTTTGTCATGGGTGTACCCGCCCATATGTTAATATTATCTTTAATAAATATTGGTAAATAAATTAAAATAACAAGCAAATATGTGTCCGCGTATGCGGTATATTTACTATGAAATGGATACGCGAGCAGAAACACATACATCGGAAAATAAACAACTGATAGCAGAGAAAGAAAAATAAACTATCGATTACCGCGATGATTTGAGCAATTTGTTTCATAAATGGCATCGCATCGCGCAATTATTTACTTCCTATTGGTCAAGCGTTATTTGACAATAATTTTGCGCATCATTTCGTGTACGCGCACATGCAAACGATGCAAAAGCGCGTATTTGATGAAATTCATGCAATACTAATAATCATTCGGAAGAATATTCGTTTATCAATGATTATTAGTTAACGCTTGTCAAGCGTAATATTTTGATATATTGTTTTCGATTTCTCAATATGTAGTGTTTCTCGTTACTTTTACTTCATTTCACTTTTATTACTTTTGTTGCGTAAATATATTTTTCATCGGACACAGTAAGCATAAAAAACTTGTCTCCAATTTTTCTATTATGAAATTATGAACTTGTCGATATTTGCTTATATTCAATATCCAGTGTTAAATTTTTGTAAATTATAACAAGAGACATACGAAACATTGATTGTGGAGACAAGTCGAATCAAATTTTATATTAAATGGAAATTATTAATTATAAATTGTTAACTTAATTAACATATTTCACAGCTTTATGTGACATTTGTACATTTAATTAATTGTTAAAAAGGATCTTAATGCTTTTCACAAAATTGCGCCACAGATATGCGATAAACTAGATTTACTTCGCATTTTCCGAGATTTCTCATGCACCGGAAATTTGTTCCAAATAAACTTCATACGATTTACTCTATTTACAGGTGCCGCGCGTGTAATCGAGCATCCGGAGCATTGACTAAACTATCGCTGCAATGTATCAATTCAGGTAATATTAACTACACGTTTAACTTGTTAAGCTAGAATGCATTTTGCGCACGCTCGCCAAGTATATGTAGTGACAGCCTCGTCCCTTGTATGCGTCATATCATGACGTAACGACAAAGTTGAAATGCTATTAAAAATATTTCAAATTTCTAGCTCTTTCCTATTAGTCGAAAATACATCAAAAATACATGTGTGCATATAGCATACGTGATTTATTATTTATAATGAAGTTGATTTATTTGTCTATTTTAATCGTAAGAAATAATTTCTATAAAAGGATGTAATAGGATTTCTAAAGAAATAACATAAATAGTTTGATATACAGTATCTTTATGCCTTTTACGAGCTAAACGCAACGTAACTTAATACCTTGCACAGAAGAGAAAGATCGTGTAGTCAGTCTTGGCGTTGCTTGCGCGCCTGCAAACGCACTTTCCTCCTTCGCGAGTGGCCAAAGTAAACGGCCAAACAAGCAAACAGACACTCTACAAATCTCGTCACCCAACAGCCACCACCACCCGCACGTAACTCTGCCCGGCTAAAGAAATATTCGCAAAGTCGATTCTCGACGGAAAGTCGTTCCGGAGTTTCAGCGTTTCATTTTTCTCGTTTTGTATCCTTTAGCTCTTTTTCCCTCTCTCTCTCCTTTTGAGCCTGTTTTTTTACTCGATCTTTTTTCTTTTTCTTTGCTCCACTATTCATGTTACTACAATTCAGTATGTGTATATATTTTTAATTACTTTTTAATTTCGATTAATTTTGTAGTAAGTTATTTGTTTTTGGACTAAATTTTTTTCCAATATAGTAAAATACGTATTTAATAATTAAAATTAAAAAAGTTATTTTAAAAGTTATTTTAGTGAAAAAAAAAGTCATTTTGGCTAATTGGGTTTAAAAATGTGTAATTAAATTTTGATTATTAAATTACGCAGCATCGAAAAGTAGAAAGTAATTTGTCATATAATCAAATTTATATGACATTAAGTATACAAAGCACAAATATCTCAAGTTTGATGCAAATATAAGGAAAATCTGTCGTTTAATTACATTCAGTTTAATCTTGTATCTGTTATAAAATACATTTTGTTTTCAAAACAATTATTTTTCTAGTACTATTGTTGGATCCCCTTCTTTCCCTTGCTCTCTTTTCCTCCTTTTCTCCTTTTGCATTTTTCTTTCTCCACGGTTTTCTCCCGGTCTCAGTTTTCCGATTGTCTCGCAAAAGCGGCTTTGCCTATCGTAACGAGACGTTCGAGGCGAGTTTTGTCGCGATTCGACGGCGGTGCCGGTAATGCAAAACATAAGCGGAAGAGCTGGGCTTTATGCCGACGGGCGCGGCGCTAAATTCATCGGGACGCATAAATGCGAGGGCTGAGGATGGAATGCAGCCGCATATGTAAAATCCTCTCGTCTTCTGAAATCGTTACTACGAAAATCATTCTTATACGAACGCTAGAAAATATTTCATGCAAAATGCAGCAAACCTTGCACTTTTAGATTTGGAATCAAATTAATTCTCTCGTTGCTTAGAATTAAGTTAAGTGTACTCTTTCAATACAATCTTTTGGAATAAATTTGTCTTGCAAAGGAAAAGGAAAGAGACTTTGAAAAGTTGATGAAAGATATGCTGCAGTTGTGACGAAAGTAGCGTACCTTGGATTAAATGAAAAAATTCTAAATAGAATCGGGAATTTGCATCGCGGTGTCGCCTCATCAATGACGTCACCCGTCTCGAGGAAAGCCGCGTAAAAGAAGGTCCCGTTTAATTTAACTCAATTTATTCTTCCGTTTGCCCGTCTTTGAATGGCTACCTCTCTTCCATTCACCCTTCGTTAAGCGGCCGATAAGCGGAAATTCCTGATTGGCCGAATGCTGCCTTTCTATAGTCTGCACATTTCAGCCCTTATTTATCTATTTCAGCGTCACGCGTTACCCCTCGATATTCGACGTGCATATAATGAAACATCTCACGTTTCTCCCGATAAACTCTTCACATCCTATTCGTAATTATTGCTTCACCGATGCCGCCTCGCCAAACTGCTCTAGTTATCCGTAATTTGAATGCTACAGAGCTGCTGGAGCTCTATTTTGAATAGAGTTTGTTTCAAAACTATTCGACACAATCGCTATTATGTACGGAAAACATTTCTTGTTCACGAATAATAATATTTTTAATATATTTTGCGATTCTGGAAGAACTTTGTTATCTGGCATTTAATGAGCAGAATATTTTAATATATTAAAAATAGCTTTGTAATATTTGTATGATTGGACTTTGAGTATGAAGGGAGCCATATTTTTGCCAACCTGATATTTCAAAAGTTAAGTTTAAAAAACTTGTCGCTAAAAAATATCTATCTCAAATCGAAACAAGCTTCGGTAATTTTGGATCACGTATAATTATTGGAATATCGGATATTTATACTCTTGTTCTAGAATTACGTAATCCTTCGTATGCGAAATATTTATAAATCGTAGCTTATATTAAATTATCAAAGCTAGAAAGGAAATATATATTTAATGCACAAGGAATTGTGCATTTGTCTCTCATCATTATTTCTTTCATGTGAAAGAAGATGTGATAGAAAAAAAAACGTTTCGTGTATTATTTACTATTTTTACCAAGAATAAGTTAGCGTTTTGAAATATAGCTTATCGATTCCAAAGTAAGTTGGCATTCCTTGATTCATTTTACAATATTTGAAAAATCCAGAAATACAAGGTTAAAGATAGATTGCGTAAAGTGTGACCCTACCTTTCTTCACATATATTTCAAGCGCTGCAAATAATAGAAATGTATGTCGAAGAATTTTTAGACGGAAGGATTTGAAAGGGGTTAAACAGATTTTAATGGATTAAAAGGAATTTCCGTGACAATTCCGCGTCGAGATCACGATGCAAATTGGGCAATTTACGATAGAACGGAAGAATGCCGGTCGTTAAGAGGACGCATATCGGGTGCAGGTGTCACGGCGCTTGCCTGTTTGCGAGAAATGGATCCGCAAAGAATATCCAGGAGCGCGCGCGCTAGTTTTCCTCTAGGAAATCTTATTTACTTGGCGAGAACGCGCGGGGGAGGGAGGTCGACTGAAATTGAGTGACGTCAGTAATCAAATGCCATTCACCTGTTATGAAGACGTTTCGCCTCGGTGAAAATTATCATGCGAATGCGCGACTGGAGGAAGTGATAAAACCCTGATAGTTTGCGAAATTTTCTTGTCTACGTCAAACTATAATATCCACCTATCTTTTCTCGCAGTTCGCCCGTCTGCCGCCCCTTCCGTCATCGCTCGTCTCTTACGGCATCTGCACTCTTTATTAAAATCATAACCTTTTATTTCCCCTCGCGGACATTACCTTGTATGTTTCAATCATCTATTTAGCTTTTTAACAGACGTTTTTAGTTATTCAAGACAAAGGATGAAAAATTACATTTGATCTTATATACATCGACAAAGCTTTCTAAATTTGCATCTTTACTTCCGCATACAACTCAATTTTTCTTATCATTTTTTTACCTTGTAACTCGTTAAAATTTCTCTTTTTTTTTCTTCAAACATTTGTGATTTAAAAATTACTAACGTCCGTGTGTACGTGTGTATAAGTGTGTTCGTATAATAATTTATTAATTTACACAAATATATATAATGGTGAAGAAATCGATAGATGATTAATATGACATCCAAAATAATCCCAATTAAGTGATTTATTAATTAATCATTGCTATCGATACTCGAACATAGAACCGTTAACTATACTCTGCTTTTCCATTAAATTTAAAACCGCTTTATTTCTGTTTCTGAAATAAACTCCACTTGGAATGAACGGAAAATCTATTTGCTGAAGCTTAATAATTCGCAAAACCTTTTAGCTTTTAATACTAAATATTGTCACAATTAGATTTATTATATTTAGAAATCTGCGCTGCAACAAAGTTGATTCGCTTCATACATTTATCTACTGTATTATGTTCAGATAATTTGGCTTGGTATTATAGAAAAAAAATATGCGCGATTCTACCTGTACGGATAAGTAAAATGGAATGAGCTGTAATATGCGTGTTTTAGCGGAACGGCGAACTTGTTCGTTTTATCCGGTGCACGCGTTGGTATTCAGAAAAAGTAATATCTCACCGGAGTGGAAGGTCGTAAGGCCAATATCACCGTATGTCGTGCCGTGCAAGTGTGCGTTTCAAAAGCGGATTAGTTCCGACATTGTATTTACAGGTGGTTGTGCGCAGCGAGCGGCTTAGTTGCAAAATTGCCCGTATACAGTGCGATATATATCTCATGGCCCTCGTATTCATCGGGTTTGGCGGCTCTCGAAATCTGCAAACGAGAACGTTTGTTCTCGCGACGGGCATCTGCTCTCGTCCTCGGTATTCTAATATCGCGGGATCAGTCGGTGATCCGCGAAGGGGAATTTCGCTAAATTAATCTTATTTTTTCCAAAATCCCCTTCGATCCGCGCTCCGTTACCGCAAATTTTAGGATTATCGTACAGCTTACGTACAGATTATCGTACAAATTGGTCGAAATTTTTTTACTTGTGTTTAATTTGCAAGCGACGCAGAGACGATGAGGTTACTTACCAAAGATATCGTTTGGATAGATCAGAAGCGCCAGTAACACCATTAAAAGGGCTTTTTGCCGATCCACCATTTTGCCACAATCATGGATCCAGCTGAAACATAAATTATATTATTATATAACATTGCAAAGAGTGCATAACTTTATTTTACATTTTGTGACTTTTCACACATTTTTATTTGCAATGCATGTCATGAGATTTTTTGTTGTAATTTATAGTTTTTTTATATGAATATATATCGAGAGGCATTTTGTATGAATTGTCACAGAAGAATTATCATCTTTTGTACCGAAAACATTACAACTCTCCCGCATTGTTACATTATTAATTAATAAAATACTGAATACACTGCATAATGCATGGGCAAAAAGAGCAAAAATTTAATGAGAATCGCTAGTAATTAAACACGTTATGTCAGATAATTATAGGTACAATTTATTCTGTGTATTCTTTTGATGATTCGTGTATAAATTATCTACTGATGAATGTAATTAAATGAATCCATCATATTCTCTCACTCGTATTCGACGATCAGAAATTAAATAAATCGCAAATTACAAAGAAAAACTAAAAGTTATTAAATAACAAATACTGTCTCAAACGCACTTATCGAATATCGACATATTGTTACATATTATTAATTAATTTTATTTAACTTCTATATTATAAATGGCGGATTAAAATTTCATAAAAAAAAGCAAAGAATTGATAAATTTTAAACATTAATCCCGTAAAATCCCGTTAACAATACTGTATGTTATTGACTCGGACAGTCACAGATCGCGACTGAAATAAAAATAATAAAGTAAATATAGAGCAGATAGGATGGAATATATTACTGACAAGAGCATTAAAGTCGCGTCAACGTCTGCAACGGTATTCCACAGGGATATTCCTTATCCTTTCATCTAGACTTTGCGTAAAGATCAAAACGCGCATCCGCCGCCCCTTCCGGTTATATTGGGATGATGGCGACCCGTTTGTTTCCGCGATATTACATCAAGGATCAAGAAAGAAATATAATACATTGTAAGGATCATGGAGGAGACTTTCAGTATATGTATTACAATATATACCATGCGAGAAATTTTAATCTTCGATTGTGATGTAATTCTGTTTTCTCGTGTAGCAAGATCGACAGAAATTTTCTGATACATCTAAAAATCCTATTCTCGATATATAAAAATCGTCATCAGACCATTACGATTGCCTTAACAGTTGAGCTCTTTTTAATATTAACGATTTCATATCCTGATATCACAATGTGTGATTCATGGAGATTTGTAGAAATAATTTTTATGGTTTCAATGACGTTGCAATTGCAACGTCATTAGAACGTCATAGAATCAATCGTCATAGAATCAACGTCATAGAATTAATCGCACCGAAGTAAAGATAAAAAATTGAGATACGTAGATATGAAAATTCAGCGCGGCAATAACATCGCCTTTAGCGACCTGGTTGGCGCGTTGCAGGCGTTAAACGCCAATCAGGCAAGTTTCTCTTGTGCAGCAGCACACTGATAACTCCATTACCTGGCGCAACGTAGCTAGCAGACTTGTTAGACACTTCGAATCATAATATTAAATTGATGTGACACTCATATCGATCTTCTTGCAGTTACGTTTATAATAGCGACGGTGACGTCCATCCATCTCCTTTCATTTTCAACGCTCAACGAGTTAACGTAATTGAACTAACAATCAAATTCAATCATAGGTCGGAAACATATATATATATATATATAATAACATAGGTCCTTGGTGTTATTTAAATATTGTTATATAACACAAAATTACGACAATGTTTGTGCAGATATGCACATTTATCGCATTATTGCTTTCAAATAATTTTATTTAAAACATATAATTGATTTGCCGAATCTCGCAACTTACGTTTACGTTTCTAATTCAAAATGTGACTAACGTGTTAAAATTCATGATATTAGATTTACTTTTCTTTGCTTTTTAAACGTAAGGATTTGGAGCACGTGATGTACAGATGTATGATTACTTCGCGGAGAGCGAAGAGCCGTAGAACCTCAAGCACCGATCGTATCCACGCTGTTGCGCACGAAAGAGAAGTCGTCGCGCAAAAGTTTGTCCGCGACAACTTTGCGACAGAAAACGGCGGAAGTTAGGTACATTTATCGCTTCCCACTGCCGCGCGCACGCAATACGAGCCAAGTGTATTCGTCATGTGGGCGCGTGGTCGCGCGACAGAAAACGGAATCAAGTCGCAGACCCGAGAGAGCGAGCGAGCCTTTCCGCTTCGCCGCGGCGTGCAATAGCAGGCGCGGTCTTGCCCGACAAGTTTCGAATGTGATGAGCGAAAAGGCGAGGCGATAAAACTTGACACCGTTGCGGTGCAAAGTTGGCGAAATGTCCAAACTGCCTCTCTCGTTCTCTCACCTTCTCGTGCGCGCGGAATTTGCAACTTCTGTAGGCGCGTACGAGTATTCAGTGTAGTTGCGGTAATTGTGGCGAGAGCGAAGAGAGCGCAAAATTTCCTACACGTAAGATGTTGATGGAGAAACAAGCGGGACTGGTGCGTGAAATAAAGAGTGAACCGGGCATTATTTCTGCGAAATAATAAAAACGATAATTTACGCCTGAAATATTATTGTCGATGACGTTATTATGGCACGGGCGATAGAAATAACGGCGGCTTACCCCTATTTTATACTGTGTTACAGTGCGACGTGGCTCCCGGAGCGAAGAGCCAACGCTTGCGCTCATATACTACGGATGACGTGACTTTATTCAAAGCGGATTCCGTCGTTTACTCGATACACAGGCCAAAGTAATATCGAGTTTGGATTTCGACTAACAAGAGACCGGCACGAAAAGGCGACTGGCAAACGACGAGCACCCGCGTAAACAATGCCATCGAGTAATTAGACGTATACGAAACGATTCTTCTCTGAGAGGAATAGACAGTCGTGCGCGCGCGGGGCCAGGCGCTCGCCGTGGAAGACGAAGCGTATTGTTTTACACGGGTTTAAGACGACAATTCGAAAGCAGAACGAAGACGCGCCTCTTTGTCTTGACGTTGAGCTTTTATGCATTCTGCGGAAATTTTCAGTTTAGACTCTTGAAGATCGGCCCCGCTCACCCACTTTCGTTCAACTCGGTCAGCATTGTGGCGGCAAAATACTTGCGTTATTATTTACGTTTGTTTGAATTATGAACGCGGAAAAAACGACTGTAATGAAAGCTGCATATCACTGTCGCGAGATATAAATAATATTGTTGACATCTACGCGCCCCTTATATATCGCTTCTTAAATAATATTGTCTGCATAACCGTGAGAATTTCCTCGAGGAACAGCTGAGAGTAGCGTAACGAAGGGACGATACGTTCGACCAATCGCAAATTATTGGGGATCTGTGAAGTATTAGAGTAACCTCACAGTGGTTACAGTCCGTGATTAGTCAGACGCGCGGAGCTAAGCCCAATCGTGTACACCTGAGTTCGGTAATTTACGGCCAAGCCATTATAACATTTATCGCGCAAGTACATGACACTTTCATACGAATTACCACATTCGTAATTGAGGGGATAATGATCCGAGGGAGACCTGTCGCAATTTTAAAAATTGGTTTATCTTATAACTATTACTCTCTCTCTCTCTCTTTTTGTCGCATATACCTATTTATAAACATGTGAAATAGATTTAATGCAACGTTTGTTTTAATCCCACGACAATCGAAACATTCTCTTAAATAATTTATAGTTTTTTTTTGTAACTATCTGTGTGAAATTTTTATTTAAATCATTTGCACGACAGATGAATTAGCAAACCGCGAAAACAAAACAGAAGCCATTCTGGAAATTATATAAGATTATTATATACTATGAATATTCCACGATATAACAACTTCAAATTTAATCTAAAATTCTCTGGATCCCGCAAAGTTTCCTTCTAATGAGTTCATTTAAACGCATAAAATTCAGATCTTCCTAATTGCAAAACTTTTAGATGCACATAGCTGGAAATTGAACCATACTGCAGTTCATATGATAAATGCGTCCATAACTTGAATGCATCTCCGTTACAATTCGGAGTAACGAACGTCTTGTCGCGATAAATTCGGGTTCCGTTCGATTATCTTTTCATCTAATTATCCGTAAGCGTCTCGCAAGGTGCTCGACCGGTGCAACGGCACAAAACGTTTTTACGCGGCAGTCTCGTTACGTGAAAATCAAATTATTCCCGACAAAAATTTGCCGGCTACTACGAATCATAATGAAAAAAATCGCCGGCGCGTATCATGTCGCCTTAATGCGATCTACGTATGTAAAGTAACGTCATATAGAGCGTAACCGCGTGCGGATACGAGCAAATGGTTTTTACAACGCGGGCATTATGGCGGTTGTAATTCTTGCGGCCCTCCTCGCCGCGTCGCCGCGCGACGGCGGAACGGCGCGGCGCGGCGCGGTGGTGCACTTGCACAAGAAACTAATCTGCATTCGAAATTTCATCCTTGTCGAATGTGAAATGAAATTTCCAGCGCGCTGACGTTGTCGAGCGGCGCGCGCGTTAATTCAAGGAAACACCGACGCGAAGCGTTCGCCTCTATCAGAAGTAGTTATCCGTGCGTTTAGGATTCAGTGCCTTTTTTTCTTCGCAATCTTGTGTCATGTGCAAATGTCTATTTACGCAACTATTGGCGATTCACTCTCAAGAAGAGTCCCCGATACGGGATTACCGAATATCGGATTCGAGCAATTCAACTTCTCGTCGTTGACCTTGTTTTAGATTTTTCTTTTATGCAAAGTAGAAGCGGCTTTTTCCCCTTTTTTTCCCCTCGAATGTTTTGCAACTGCTGCGGTTGCTAAGAAACCGCCGGAAGATGTCAATTTGAGTTTAGTGTTAATAACCACCGAGTAACCACTGGAACATATTAAGTCGCGCTTATACGTGTTGAAACTCTCTTAGCCGCTGTGGTTTTTTGAGGATTTCGGTGCTCCGTAATTTTGCGCGTGTAAATTAAATTCGAAAAACGAAGAAAACTTTGTTCAGCGTATGATATTATATTCTCGCGAAAATAGAGATAGTTGAAAATATAAATTTAAATGGATGGAAAGCA